TAATGAAAGGTTATTTAGATTGTGTATGGGTTTGAAATAGACATGGTCACGGGTCGGTTCCGGTTTGCATTTCATATGAACCATAATCGGCCCAACTATGTGTCGGTTCAAGGAATCGGTGACTATTTCCATTTGAAAAAAAATCGACGGGGGAGGGAATTTAAGGAAAAATCCAATTGAAAAAGATGGAAGGGGCAAGGGATATAAGAAAAATTTGACTTGGGCTTAGTTGACTAAATTAAAATATCAATTGTTGAGGGCGTCAACTACAATTAATGAGACAATTTTTTAAGGTGTTAATGCGATTAAAAAGTGATGGTATAAATGTTTTAAGCAGTAATGAAAACAAGATATCAAACGTCTTAACACATAAGATCTTGAAGCATGCGAGTCTGCCACTTAGACTCAACATATCACGAAAATATATATAGGGGAAACTTTCATCCATTATCTTGATGTGTTCATACTAGCCTATCTCATTAGGTAGTTACATTAAACATAATTGTGCTATTAGCTCGACTCTCTTTAAACTGCGCCGTTTTGGTCTTCAATGAGCAAGTCTACCTTTTAGGTCTTTAGTCGACCTCTTCAGTTCCATGTCGAGCTCCCATCAGGTCTACCAAGAGCCCTAACTCGGCCTTTCTTAATCACTCAACTCCATTGATTTTCAAGATACCAGAAAACAGTTTATATTTGTCAGTAACCCCAGTTAGACCATCACATCTTTGTGGCCTCACCATCTGGAGAAAACACAACCAAAAACCACTTCCCACAAATACAACAAAACCAACTTCCTAACATTATAAGTTAAAAGAAGGCATGATATCCAAACCTATCTCAGCTCCCCTCTCCTACGACAATACAACAACAACACACAGCATGAGATATCACATTACAAATACCACCAACAAAACAGCCTAAAAATGGTGAGAAGCCATTTTTACCACCTTAAATAAACCGAACAATTCAAACACTATTTTTGTCCCTTCTTTTTCCACAGATCACCCACAAACATCCTAATTCCCGACGAGCCTTTCTTCTTCCCACTTCCAAAACCCTCGTCAGCCTCATCAACAAACCCCGGTGACCCAAAAAAACCGGCATTTTCATAGTGTTGCTTGTTCATGGACCCACACCTATTGGATATCATCATTCTTCTGCCATCTGTCTCCAAACTCTCGCCCGCCAAAATATTAGCGGCTTCATCAGCCGCTTTCCTCCACTGTTCGCTCTGCACGAGCACCCTCTTCATCTCGTTTTCAAGCTCCTCTTTACCTTTCTCTGCAGCTTCCAGCCTCTCGGCCATACGAGCAGCTCCAGTTTTACTCTTTTCCAGCTCTTGCTCAAATTTACTCACCTTTAGAGTCAGTTCCTCGATTTCGGACTCGGCCCACGATATCATTAACGACTTCTCAAGAAGCCGTGTTTTCATATTCTCGTTTTCTTCACGGAGGATTTCGAGTTCTTTGTCCCTCTCGTCCAACTTGGCCTTCACCTTGTTCAGTTCATCATCATCCTCCGATAATGCCAGCTCATTGGGCAACGGATTCATGGGTTTTGGTTTGAGTTCTTCTTTTTCTTGGCCAGGAGGCTCCATTTTAAGTTCCACAGCTACATTCTGAACAGGGACTTCATAAACATCCATGGGAGGAGGTGTAGTCTTCTTCTCAGGAGATTTTTTCGGCTGTTTCTGATCGAGCTGCTCGTGGGCTGATTTTTTGGTGGGGTCGATTGGGAGAAGCTGGTATTTGAGACATTTGAGTTCGTCCTGCGCTTGCCCGAGTTGAGATTCCAAGTCGGCTATTCGGCTTCCGAGTTTCTTTTTGTTGACTGTATTGGGTTGTGAGGTCATTTGGGATAGTTTCGGGCTTTCAGTCCTTGGAACTTCTGAGGCTCTGTTCGGGACATGATAAAAAATCAATGGTTTGAAATCACTAGTAAATTTGAACAAACAAACAAAAAATTTGTGAGGACATGTAACGGGGAGGATACGTAAAAACATGCTAATCAAAGAATGTAATGTAATCTATTTTACATCCTTGTAGAGACATAGTAAAAGAACATAAAGACTAGGATCAATTGAATTTGAATGAAATTATTGGCTACAAGAATATACCTTAATCTCGGCATTTTCTTCAATTAGAATGAACTGAATGAATTTGTAGCATCGACAAGAGTAAAGAAAATTACTCAAATCTGCAAAATCACAGTGAGGAAATCAGATAAAAGAATATTTTTTTTCTCTAATTCTTGAGAGTCTTGAGTATCATCAACTCATCTAGACATTAGACGTTTAACAGAAAATTGAAAATATATCCTGTTTTTTCTTGAAAAACGATATGAGAAGCAACAATAGTACAATACATTCCAACCAAATGCAAACACCACACATCAGTATTATGAAAAGATGTGCAAAATGTTATCTTTGCCTCAACAATACCTATAATTTAAGTTTTCAAGAAACTTCAAAATTCACAATAATTTCATCTATAAAGTAAAAGTGACTCCTTCATCTATCTGCAGAGGTTGTCGGATGCCTCAAATGATATTCAACGAAAAAGAAAGAGATCCTACAACATCAAAAGAAAACATTTCTAAACAAAACAGAGAAATTACATTGTTCACTAAAGAACAAGTGCTTAAAAAAAGGTAACTTTATTTCACTATCAATCTTTCATTGGTCACCAAAAGAAATACACGATTTTGCAGAACTCTGTACTTTAGATCACAGATCTATAACTCCCATATCAAATTTATTCTCCATTCTCCAATCATATATTCGACAATGAGTAATGAACAATAATACCTAAATAAGAAAAGGAAAATATATAAATTCCATATCAATTGAAATACCAGTGAAGACCCACAAAGAATAATTAGATGAAAATGTTTCACTCGAGTAAATCAGAGAACTTTTTGAAAAATGCAAAAGAAACAAGTAAATTACATCTCACCCTGAATACCAGTGAAGACCCACAAAGAATAATTAGATGAAAATGTTTCACTCGAGTAAATCAGAGAACTTTTTGAAAAATGCAAAAGAAACAAGTAAATTACATCTCACCCTGAATATGTGTCCCAGTTCTTCATATAACTTGTTACATATCCACTATTTGCTCAGCTTGCAACAAAAACCTGAATACTTGGAAGTTGGAACAGAGAAGAAAAGGCGCTTTCCCAATTTGAAGGTAGCTATATTTAAATTTTGAAGCAGTTGAATGGCATTTATGAACTTGTGTTCCTGTGCATATATGGACATCTCTTGTTGGTCAAGGAGAGTAACGGTAAAACCATATCAATGTACTATAATATAAGTCTAACAAGCAGCACTTGACACTTGAGCCGAGAGAGAGAGTGTGTGTTTGAATTTTGAATTAAATTAGACCGTTGTATAAAAAATTCTTGTTAAGGTAGCGTAATAGTTAGTTGGGTCAAATCATTATCTATCTTCTTAACAAAAACGCACTTATATTATCATAATGTATACTGATGTTTTCATACTGTGTCATATTTTTTAATAAACGTATAGATATTTCAAAATAAAAATAAATAAATAAATAAATAAATGTCACTCTAGCACAAGATGTGTTTGAAAAATGAGTGTTGGGGGATAGAAGAGGTGTAATATCTTTTAATAAACATATAAATATTTGAAAAAAAAAAAAATGTCACTCTAGCACAAGATGTGTTTGAAGAATGAGTATTGGGGGATAGCATGGATGCGGCGAGAAGAAGACAAGGTGAATTTCAAGGTCAGGAAAGAGAAGAAAGGGATATGTAAAATAGATAAGGTTAATTTAAAAATGGGCCTTGAAAATGACAATTTGGACGACAGTATCTTTGTATTCTTTTATGGTTTGTCTTTTATTTACCATCTTTCCAAAGCCCGGCATTTTCTGTCTGTGTGTTCTCTTGGGCCTTGGCTATGCAAATAATCGTGTCCTTTTGAAATTTTCAAAACACATTTTTCTATCTGGAAATGGTGTAAGTGACTTGTAGGATATCCTTGAAATCACTATAAAATTAAAAGGACAAATCATTTTTTACTCACTCATTATACACATCATCTTTCTTTTATACATTGTTTCATTTTTTCATTCCAAAAGTCATGAAATGATATGCGGTACAATAATCACATATATAAATCAACCGCATAATTAAGAATTGTGCAAGATTTTGTCGCATATATATCCAAATCGATTGCATAGTTAATAATTATGCGAAATAATTTCGCATATTTTGTAATCGCATATCTAAATACACCGCATAATTTAAAATATACGAGAAAATTTCGTATATTTAGATATCACATATTCAAATCGAACGTCGCACATTTAGTGATTATGCGATTCTTTCCTCATAGTTTACAACTCGCATATCCAAATCTATAATGTCGTATAATTAACGATTATGCATAAATATGTTCGCATATTCACGAATCGTATATTCAAGTTGAAAGCGACATAATTCAGGACTATCCGCCATTTTTTCGCCGGTCTATATCACGAATCGCATATCCGCCGAAAATGTTATTTGCATAATTTATGCACCGCTATGATTATATGTTTTATCACGTAAAAAACTCAAGCATATACATATCAACATCGCATAATTTGTCAATATGCGAACATATTTCGCATACGATTCACATAAGTACACACCATAATGATTTACTGTTTCTTTCACGTAAAAGTAGACACATGAGATGTGGATTTTTTTGTCAAAAATCTTACTACCATTTAGCAATTGTTATTCTTCTTCATGCTCGCATTTACTACCATTTAATTCTTCTTCTTCCTGCTTGCATTCTATTGCATTTTTTTTGTTCAAACTTTTTAAGGTCTCATATCTACTATATTTTTTTTAAAAAAACTTATTTGGCTCTTTTTTCTTTCTTTTCTAAAATTATACTTCAATAACTAGCAACCATGTTAGAGTATGCGTGTACCATGACGGTGCGTTTTCCTTGCGGTATGTTTGGTTCAATTGAGGGAAAGGGAGGGGAGGGATTTTAATGGAGGGGAGAGAAAAGGAGGGGAGGTGACGAAAAATAATTTTATCTTGTTTGGAAGGATTTTATTTGAGGGGAGTTGGGGAAAAATGATAAATCTTGTTTGGATAGAAAATGGAAGGGGACGGAAAATAATGTTAGAATGACAAATATATCCTTAATGATGTTAGAAATAAAAACAAAATAATATGTATAATAAGGGTAAAATTGTAACTTCGTGTATTAAAATTTTCCCTCCCCTCCAAATTCCCCCATTTTCGGAGGGGAGCAAAAATGGGAAGGGGAGGGGATTTTATGTTAAAATTTTCCCTCCCCTCTTATCCAACCATCCCAACCAAACAAGAGAAAAGTAAAAAAAGTTCTCCCCTCCCCTCCTTTTTCTCCCAACCAAACAATACCTTAGGTAATTATGTTAGTGGTGTGGCAGAGACGATGAGAATAAATTGTGGTACACAAATGAATTCCAAAGTGGTTTCTCGTGTTCAAGCATTATCAAAGGTCGATCCTTGTAATTTTGAGTACATATTGTGCGCTGAATTTGATGGAAGTCCTCGAGTTACTAAGATGAAAATCGAATCCAATGATGATATAAAAAAGTTGTTTAAAAAAAAAAATACTCCCAACATTTACGTCTAGTTGGAGAAGCTACTAGATGTAAGGATTTCAAGATGGGAAAACAAAATTTCACGCAATTGGTGGCAGTCACATGGTGATTTATTAGTTTTTTACCCCAACAACAAAAATTCAAGTTAACTGGACAAAAAAAAATAAATAAATTGTGGAGAACAATTAAAAATACGTTTTTCAAAAAAAAAATTATAAAAAAAAAACGTATTTTGAGAATACGGGCTTTTGATTTTGGTCAAGATTTTTTTTTTCGTTTTTTATTTTTGTCCACTTATTTTTTTTTTGTTTTTTATATATATCAATTTCCCTTTATTTCAAAGTCATTTTTACGTTGGTAGTTCTGCTTTACTATTTTATTTTTATTTTTTTACAACTTGCTCTTAATTAACGTGGGTTGGTGAAGCATATTAGGCCCCTTGATATACCAGGCCCAAACCCCATAGCCGTGAAACGGGCCTAGAGTTGTCCACTTAGCTGAATGGCCAGAGCTGTTAATCGTGCCATGCCCTAGAAGTCCTTATCTTGCAGTGGCAGCCATGGAAACAGGTCACCGGAAAACCTGATAGCACCGGCGAAATCGATGGCTGCTTGCGCCGCTCGTTACCGCCGTCTTCCGTCAACGGATCGAGATTCCTGCCGGAGCTTCGTACTTTGTTGCGGCCATGTTCTCTCCACCGCCCCCTCGCTGCAGCCGCGACCGAGAGCCTAACCGCCGCCATCCTGCCACCGCGACTAGGTTCCCCCCGCCGTCATCCTGCCGCGACGTCTATCGGGATGATTCCCGCTCAGCTCATGCGAGCCCTTGGCCCCTTGCAAATCTAGTAGTCCTTGGGCCAAACAAAACCTTGGGCCCAGCTACTCACTTTCGTATTGGGCTTAAATTACATCATGTATTGGGCTAAAAAATATCACCACAGTCCATCCAACTTAATGGCCCATGCACCCTCTTGATCAAATGCGTTGGTCAACAAACCGCATATCCAATTTGTTTTTTATTTATTTATTTTTTGTAATAACTGAATTTTTATGTATTTTAGCTCTTTGTAAAATTTATTACAAATTAAGTTTTAGGGCTATTGTTGATTATGTTGTTTTCGGTCCAATTTAAATTTCTGCACTCTTTCTGTTTTCTTTTTTCTCTTAATATTAATATTTCGCGCATTTCATTTTTCTCTGTAGATATTTATAATCACATAATATAAATTCAATAACAATTAACCTAAAACATACTTTAATTCTAGGAAAATCAATATCGCGCTAGATTATAATTAAAAATTATAAGGAATACCTGGATCCATTGAGATTGAGTTTCTATATTGCAGAATACCTTATCATCAATCTCCGGATCTCATCTCAATGAACACGATCTGGATCAGGAACACATCCTTGATCACGAACAATGTGGGTTTTATGGTCTTCCTCAACTAAATCGCCTTATTCCACATATGAGACCGTCATTCTCAATTCGGATGGGGAAAAAAGAGAACTATGTTTGATTTAGTATATTGGGGACCATAACCGGATGGGGAAAAAAGAGAACTATGTTTGATTTAGTATATTGGGGACCATAACCAATAGGGTCTCTATATACTACTAGGGTAGGCCACCCATTATCACCTAACCCTAATAATATTAGGTATCCATTCAATTAGCTCATATCAATTTACGTAGCTCATGGACTCTACTTTATTTAGATCACTTAATTGAGTCAATTAATTAATTGAATAGCTAATATAATTGTATATAATATGTTGCTCATAATTAGATTATATATAGGAAATAAAATATTTCCTAACAATCTCCCACTTGGGCTACCTATTATTTCCAGAGCAATTATATTAATTCTTTACTTGCGCAACTTTATGCTATTCATCTCTAGACTACCTTAAACAATCTGGTCTATCTCATATACTAGCAATGGAACTACCGCGGTTTTCACCACATTTCAGATCGTGGTTAAACCCCGGAAATCAGCATACTACTACACTCAATGACATAGATCAAATATGGTGAGTGGCATGGAAATTACATGCAATGTGATCTTTATCGTGTCTATTTCCAACTAGTCCAACTTTAAATCCTTAGTGAGTTCAATCCATAAATGCAACACAAAGTCACAAAAATAGAATACCTTAGTGATTCATAACGAATCAGAACCATCAACTTTATTCTGTAGAAAACTGAAGTTATAACATTCAAGAATACATTGAACACTAACTCCCACTGAACTAAGGCAATATCCATAGTAACACTTATATGAGCGATATACTCATAAAATACTTCAAGTGTTAATACCTTAGTATACCTCATAATAGAGCTATGAATTTGCTAGCATAAATTTATCCTTATGTGTTCAATAAAAATTCATTAACATGAATTTTATCCTTAACAACAAGAAACTTTATGAACAATTTTTGTTGTTCAAATATGGCAAACTAATATTATTACAATAGAACTTTAGTGGTATTCAATACCATCCGCAACATGCAGTCTCGTGATAATATTATGCAACCATAACCTTATAAGATGTCTTCAGATAAGCTAAATCTCAATTGCTAAGGAGGAATAAACTATAAGTGTCTTCTTGGGACTTTCCAAATTAGTTCTTCCAACTAGCAGTTAATGTAGCTTGACGTAAATTTAGATCGTTCAATTTTACAGACATCCAATAAACTCAAAATTAGAGTTCTAAATGATCTCCCAAATGATCCAATAATCCTTAAGTGAGTATAACTCTCTTTTGTTCTCAAACAAAACTTTATAAACCCTTTGGCCGCATTCAATAGGTTAATAATCAAGATTTGATCATTTGTCAAATAATCAAATGTATGTGGAATCCAAATGCACATATTTTGAAAA